ACCACGAACACAGGAGGGGAGTGAGATATAAAAGCTGCTCTGTGTTTCACTAAAACAGCCCGACTGTCTTTCCTGTGTCATCAATGGGAGATTATTAAGGATATAGAGTTTTACTGTTTGGTAGAAATACAAAAGTGGTAGCAGTTTTCCGGAAGGATATAATCAAAGGGCTGCATGCCTTTTCGGTACAACGTGGTAAATAAAAGGGAAGAGTTTGGATCTTCTTTGCAGAAACAAATTATTAAGTGCATGTACTTCCCCTTCCCTCAGAGCCAGTGGCTAAATAGTCCACCAGTCACAGGAGTCTCCCGCAGTTCAGTGGTAAAAGCATAAAAAACAACATTAACTTGGCAGCACGAAAGCCAAATGGTTGCCCTTGAAGTTCATCAAAATAAATCCCACAAAAGTTGGGTTGCCGAGCAACCAGCCCAGCGAAAATCTCAAATTGACCGCCATTTCAACGCCGTTAGAATGCGCGTCCATCTCAACCTGTGCAGTCAGAAGTTCGTTACGACGCGGTCAGCCCGGACACTAGCAAAACTAGGCCCAACGGGTAGCCCCACGATATGAATGATTCAGTCAGAAATAAATACCAACCCACACGTGGAGTGAATATTTTGCTAAACGACTATTTTCAACTATTTTAGGTTTTCTCACCAGAAATTCATTGTGAGTGACTGAGACATTCGATGATTTTTGTGCAAAGGGGGAACCAGGGTAAAAGCCATTATAGTCTTCATCATGACTCCCCTATGGCTGTTTGACCTAAACTTTTTCCTGTTTGGTAGAGATGAAAATACTGCGGGCAAAACAGGAGGAGGAAACAAACAGACTCCGTGAACAGATAGAAGCTGAAGCAGCGGTCCGACGAAAACAGATGGAGAACATGGTAAAGGCGAGAATGGTGTAAGTTGAAAAACTAAGACAAAATTTCATGCGACAGCACCACACCCTCAACCAACGACTTGCATAAATGCAGAAATCAAAGAAGATCGTGGAGAGCTTGAGACAACAGCTGTTACTCAATCAGAGCCGACAACAGCAAATTGAAAAGCCGGAATTCTTTGACAGAGCGCTGCAAATGACACCAGTCTCGGGCGGGTTCTCTCGCACCCTATCAAAGTGTAGCGTCATGTAAGGCCTCTAAAGTTGTTCCTTATCAAGAACATTGGTTCGATTTTTAGTGGTTGCATAATATCCGTGTCTAGATTAACGTAATTTACAAAGAATTGACCACCTTAATGTTATATAATCCGTTTTATGTCAATGGACATGTTCTTGATTCCGTAGATAAACTGAAAACTGTGTGTTGTCCATAATACCAATTTGAAAAAAGACCTTAGTCGTTTCTTCCAATTATTAACTAGTACGCGCAAACAAAATTCCCTTCCGGAGAAATTTAGCCCGAAGCCTAACAGGCTATTATAGACTCTGTGTACAAGGGATGTAATAAATGTTTGGGATATTCTTTAGTGGCGAACGAGCGAAAAAAAAAGGGGGACAAAGGTCGAGAGGTTTTATTTTATTTATTAGCTTCGCCGACCGGCAGGGACACCGCAACAGCTTGCGCCAATTACTGTGGGCCCTATAGACCAACCATCCCACCCCAGGGGAGGGTATCCATCACACAGTAATCTCGTGTGTGGGAAATTAGCGTCTCCTTCCCCCAACCCTGCAGGGGACGGGACCTCCATTTATTCGTCCCTATCCGAGAGACTGCTTACAGTCTCTTGACCGTCTCTCTCTTATTTGCCTTTTTGTTTGTTTCCTCGCCTCAAAATTTGATAGAATTAAATGCACAGCAGTAAAGAGGAGAGGATGCTAAGGTAACTCTTGATGCCTACTCATCGAAAAGTTCAGCGGAGGACAATTAAAGGGTGGATGGGCGGGTAGTGGAATGAAATACCAAAAGGTTATTTAAAGGCAAAACACAAAGCAAAAAACAAACAACAGCAAAACATCAAAAAGAACATTACTAAGGTCGGTCAGTTGGTCGAACTCAAAAGACTTATATATTGCACAGTTCAGACCGTCAGATTCTGCTGTAAATTAAAGGAAAATGATGCAAATATAAAACCACGAAAATTAACCAGTCTTTCCTCACACCCTAAGGGTACCCATGTCGAGCAATAGTCTCTTGAATTCAAAATCTGGGCACAAATTTTCCTCAGCTCGCGATGCATTCAGTTGTACAATAATTTCAAGAAATAATTTTAGTAAATGTGATTTAGGGTCCGAGCAATAAGGATAAAGGTCGTATCCATCGTCTTTGTCAAAAACTCTCATATCAGCTGAACCTTCTTTGGCAATTAAGGCAATATTTTTTAATAAATCAACAAAAGTAAGAGTACACTGGTGAAAACATTTATCAAAATAAGCCAAGCTAAATTCCTACTTGCTAAAACAAGCATTTAAGCCTGTAACACTGTGTAACGACTTTCACTCTTCTGATCACGAACGATTTTGCAACAATTTTCAGTTTCAAGCATCAACAATGTAAGGAATAAAAAGAAGCCTACTTGACTGCACAACGCTGCCTGTGAACTGATCTAAGCTCAAAAAAAATAATTCTCCCGCACTTTTGTCTTAAAGTCTGCTTTTCTTGTGAAGTAGATGATGGTTAATCAAGGGAAGACGAGGGATAATGAGGTAGAACAAAGGTAACTAAAGAAGATGAAGGGAACAATGTTAGCTAGGGCATATCGTTCAACATACATTAATTTTATAATACTTAGTATTAATTGGTATTAGTTATTGGGACACGATATGGACCTAACATGAACGCTTTACTAAATTCTGAGCCAATGGTGTCTGAAAACCGCAAATATTGTAACGGATACTCCATATAAGGACCAACAAAGTGAGGTTAAGTTTGTATCGCCAAATTATAACTGAAAAAATGTGGTCTTTTTCGTATTCAAAGGGTTAAGAAAAAAAACACATATCCTCAAAGAAGGTATCCACTTCCACACTTTGTCTTTATTTGCGAAATACGCAGAACTACAAACCAATTCATGCAAAGCCTTTTCCCTAGAAAGGGAGAAATGCACACATGATATAGAAAATGAAAATCTTTGGCGCACGGTTGACTTTAGGGCCAGACAATCGGTTGAAAATTCAGTATACATTAAGTCACAGAAACCATTCCCATTTCTCTATGTAACAGCTCATATTATACATAAAGTACATACTGTACAGCTGGTTAATGTACAGACCGATTTTTATTTACAGCATCTATGGTATTTTGTACGTGTATCTCCGCAACGTGTTCTCAGAAATAAATGCGGAAAAGTGTGAACCTTTGACCTGAATATCGCTTTCACGGAAAATGAGCTTTCATGCTCACGTGAAGAAAGTCTTGGTAAATATCCCAATCGCATCACGCAATTACGTAAGAGTCGCCATGACGATAGAAAACTACTAAGATTTCATAGAGTTTGCAATTTCTCAGAATTCAGGCTGAAGTTTCAAGGTTTAGTAAACGTAAACTTTCTCCTAAAATTTCTTGTCCAAATATCAATAACTT